TATCAATTTCTCTAAGTGTATCAGGGGAATTATGGGTCGATTCAGTTCCAAGTTATAAATGACAACTCAAAAGCCGCAGAAGCGTTTGAAGCTGGGAGCTGATGACGACATTATCATAAAAGCCTGCTCGTCCTTGCTTTTGTGGGTTTTTTTGTGGCCTATCAAGTGAAGAGGGAAAAATAAGGCTGAGAAATGACTTCAAGATTTCTTCACACAGCAGCAGGTCAGATGGCCAGGAAAATGATCACTATTTTTAGTGATATACCCTGAGGAGTGAGAACTAAAGTGGTCCGGCACTGGCTTTTGTTTCCAGAGTCCCTTAATTATCTGTTTCACTATATGACTACCAAGGCCCGGGATTTGGTAAAATGCTCTTTTCAGTTGGTGCATTTTCTTGCAGTGCAATCACACAGTAATCAGAAATGAGTCATGCCATAGTAACGAAACAAAATGAGAACCAAACACAAAGGAATTTGGAAACCTTGAGATTGTTGTCCAAAATGCAATTCTGGAGAGCACACTTTAAAGCAACTTATTACCGTTCACCCATTGAGCTACTTGACCAAATTATCACCTGCAATTTTACAGGAAAAGCTAATAAGAGGTAGAGATTTTTTTAATTTCATCATGTCCCAGGCAGACCCCTCAAAAGCCAATTAATCCATCAGCATTCAGTAGGTATAAATTAAACCCATCTGGTAGGAAGGTATATATTCTAGGCAATTGGGGTTTATCCCAACAACTGGGGAGCATTAAGTGTTTTGGAATTTAAACCAATGGGTTCATCTTAGATAATATGAACCGGAAGAAATGCCTTAAGACAAAAGTGATTTTAGTGGTTTCCAAGCTTGCTGGTGTGCCCCCATGTTGCCAAGCTGGGCCACTCCACGTTCATACTGGGTATCTTTTGTATACGTAATATGTCTTGGACTGTCCTGGAGGTAAAAATTTAGATGGATACAAATCCACAGGACCCAGAGTTTCTCTTAGAACTTATATCAAAACCAAAGATCTTAGGAGTCAAGATGGTTCCTGAATGTCTAAGAACACAATCTGATTCCTAAAAAAACCCCAAAACACTGAATCAAGCTAGTTCTCTAGAGCATCAACAAGCATAGGCATACACAACACAACACATACACACTCACCTAGACCTACATAAACACCACCAGGAGACCTATTGGCCAAGTTGAAAAACAGAGATGCCTCTCTCCAGCACTTTCCAGCAGTGATGGAGTCAAACTAATCCAATCTTACTCTACCTGCTTCTGCTTGTGCAAGCCAGATTTATCCACCACCTTTGCTGCCACCATACTGATTAGGTGTTATTCTATGACACCCACTGTGCCAGAAGCAGCAGCCACTATTCATTCCTTGGGTACTTCTAAGAGTTTACTAGAGCAGTTCTTGCTAAAGAATAGGAAGTTTACTTGGTATGTGTTTAGCACAGTTGAGTACATGTATTTTACGTTCAAGGCATAGTGAGTCATAGGCACAGCAGAGGTCAGACTTGGGAAGTGGGTCCTAGTGAACTGTCCTCATTTCAACTCTGGATCATGAATTAAATGTACTTGTTAAGTGAGTGGGAGTTTGATGATCACCACTCTTTTCACAGCTTTGATTTCCTCCCCATTACCATCCCCACTAAGCAGTCATTAACTTTGCTTCATTCTTTGCCTCATTTGTAGGTAATCAGCCATTCTCTAAAAATGGCCACTTGGGATGTCAGAAAATAAGTGCAAAAACCAATGAAACCCATTTTAAAAGTCAGTAAATTCTCTGCTTTCTAGAATGACTCTGTAAGCTCCTGGCTTCACTGGAGGTTTGCAAAAAATGAGCATGGATTAATGTGGGATGGTGACTGTCCTGTCCTAGGAGTCAAAAAGCAAAGCTCACTGGTGAGCTGCCATCAAGGGGACCACACTACGTTAGCCACACAGATGCACTGCTAGGCTCCAGGGGCTGCGGCTGGTCTGTTGAAGATGAGAGCGTTGGAAGGACCTAAAATGCTCTTTTGGAACTCCTCCACATGGACGTGCACGTCAACTTCATACCTTCAGCCTTTCAGCCTTTCCTAAGTAACTTCAGCAAAATAACCTCACTTCTCTGAGCCTTCAGGTTCTCATCGGCAAAATGATGTTAATAATTACGACTACGTTATAACGTTATTACAAACCTCAGGTGCATGTTGGTAAACTGTAAAGTCCAAATGGATATTGGTTGTAGTTGCCATTTTTATTTCTAGAAGGCAGAGTCACAGGTGAAGGAATAGAAAGATTATCCTTGCAAAATCTAGCATCACTAAAATGACAGAATTAGCTGAAAATGTATGGGATTTCCCTGTATAAAATTTAGTTATAGCAAAATATCACCTAAAACGTACTCAGGACTAGTTGTGTTCTTTCCTTCAATATCTGAGAAACTTAACGGACTTAAATTCCTTAGTCCTTGGAAACCTGATCTAGAATTACTCTGTCCTAACATGAGTTAGCACTCAGTTCTACAGGATGATGGCTTGTTACTGGTAAGGGTTAACTTTAAATAGATTGCAGGTTATAGGGTATGTTCTAATCATCCACAAAAATGCAGACATTTTTCTTCATACATTGTTGGATTTGAACAAATTTGTCCTTGAAATATGGTATAAATATCCTGGGTTAAAAAGGCTTTGTTAATTATTGAAGACAAAAATGGCCTCAGGAGGTTCACAAACAAAATGTCCCACAATGCAAAGTGCTTTGTGAAGTTTATGCCATTTTCACCAGGAATATAATGCATATGCATACTCAGTATGACTCTACTGAAAACTGAATTCTGCTATGAAACTACGTTATAAACCCTCTCATATTACCTTTTCTCTAGCAATATAAAAGTCTAGCAAAGTGGCTTCACACAGGAACCTGTATTTAGCAGGGGCCCCAAGTTTGTATTACTTTGGTATTTTTGCCATCTTGAAATTCTTAATAATTTCTGAACAAAGGGATCTCTATTTTCATTTGGCACTGAGCCCTACAAATTATGTAGCCATAATAACCTGAAGTCCAGCATAACTTTTACTGAGGAACAGCCTTAAACACAACTGACCAGATAAATCAAAGGATATATTTTTGGAATTTTATGTTATTTAAAAGCAGTAAACAGAAACAATTCCATTTACCATCACATCAAAAAGAATAAAATACCTAGGAATAAACCTACCTAAGGAAGCAAAAGACCTGTACTCAGAAAACCATAAGATGCTGATGAAAGAAACTGGAGATGACACAAACTGATGGAGAGATATACCATGTTCTTGGATTAGAAGAATCAATATTGTCAAAATGACTATACTGCCCCAAACAATCTACAGGTTAAATGTAATCCTTATCAAATTATCAATGGCATTTTTCACAGAATTAGAAGAAAAAACTTCACAACTTGTATGGAAACACAAAAGACCATGAATAGCCAAAGCAATCTTGAGAAAGAAAAACAGAGCTGGAGGAATCAGGCTGCCTGACTTCAGATTATACTACAAAGCTACAGTCATCAAAACAGTATGGTACTGGCACAAAAACAAATATAGATCAATGGAACAGGATAGAAAGTCCAGAGATAAACCCACGCACCTGTGGTCACCTAATCTATGACAAAGGAGGCAAGAATATACAATGAAGAAAAGACAGACTCTTCAATAAGTGGTGCTGGGAAAACTGGACAGCTACATGTAAATGAATGAAATTAGAACACTCCCTAATACCATACACAGCAGTAAACTCAAAGTGGATTAAAGACCTAAATGTAAGACCAGATACTATAAAACTCTTAGAGAAAAACAGGCAGAACACTCTTTCACATAAATAGCAGCAAGATCTTTTTGGATCCACCTCCTAATGTAATAAAAATACAAACAAAAATAAACAAATGGGACCTAATGAAACTTCAAAGCTTTTGCACAGCAAAGGAAACCATAAACAAAACAAAAAGACAAATGACAGAATGGGAGAAAATATTTGCAAATGAAGCAACCAACAAGGGATTCATCTCCAAAATATACAAACAGCTCATGCAGCTCAATATCAAAAAAATAAACAACCCAATGGAAAAATTGGCAGAATATCTAAATAGACATTTATCCAAAGAAGACATACAGATGGTCAAAAAGCACTCAAAACTACAATGAGGTATCACCTCACACCAGTCAGAATGGCCATGATCAAAAAATCTACAAACAATAAATGCTGGAGAGGGTGTGGAGAAAAGGGAACCCTCCTACACTGTTGGTGAGAATGTAAATTGGTACAACCATTATGGAGAACAGTATGGTGGTTCCTTAAAACACTAAACATATGACTACCATATGATCCAGCAATCCCATCCCTGGGCATTTATCTGGAGAACACCATTATTCGAAAAGATACATGCACCCCAGTGTTCACTGCAGTGTTATTTACAATAGCCAGGACATGGAGGCACCCTAAATGCCCATCGACAGACGAATGGATAAAGAAGGTGTGGTACATATATACAATGGAATATTACTCAGCCATAAAAAAGAATGAAATAATGCCATCTGCAGCAACATGGATGGACCCAGAGATTGTCATACTGAGCGAAGTATGTCAGACAGAGAAAGACAAATACCATATGATATCGCCTGTATGTACAATCTAAAGAAAAAATGGTACAAATGAACTTATTTACAGAACAGAGTCACAGGTGTAGAAAACAAAGTTACGGTTACCAGGGGGAAAAGGGGGTGGGGATAATTTGAGTGACTAGGATTGACATATACACACTACTATATATAAAATAGATAACTAGTAAGGACCTACTGTATAGCAGAGGGGACACTACTCAGTACTCTGTAATGACCTATATGGGAAAAGAATCTAAAAACGAGTGGATATATGTATAACTGATTTACTTTACTGTACACATGAAACTAACACAACATTACAAATCAACTATACTCCAATAAAAAATTTTTTTTAAAAAGCAGTAAACAAACTCATACTTACCCCAAGTCCACCACAAGGTAATGAAGAAAAAAACTTTTGAGAAGAGTCACCTACACAGTAAGAAGACATGAAAAAATATATAAATTGGAATATAATTATAGTTTTTAAAATTTTTGGTGTTTATTAACACATAATATGTCACATCGTATTTATCATTTGAGTCAGAAGGAAACTGATCAAATTTTAGATAGTTAAGAACTCAAAGCAAATTAATACATATATTATTACATGTAGAGCCTTTTACTCCACATGAACAAACACATACTTATGAAAGTTGAGTCTCAAGATTTTTTTCAACTGCCCTACAGGATGTTTATCACAATACCTTTTTTGTTTATAACTTATCATAAATAACTCAGCTGTTCATTACGTGTATCCTTCCAGTGTAATGTTTTGAGCTGCAAAGTTTATGAACTACACTGTCATTTTTTACATGCTCCAAATATTAAAGCATTTATTTAAGTATACAGACCTATCTTTAAGTTCTACTTCAGATATAGCTAAGACCAAGTATACTATAAACCTCTCCAACATTCACAATTTTTTAAACAAATAAGTCACAAATCACTATAAATAGGATAACCTTTTGGGGATCTATATAATATACATATAAATGTATCTTTAAAGTAAATGCCAAAATCTTACTTGTGACTATCTTTTGGAATTGAGATTTTATGGAATTTTTAATCATTTTTGTTTACCTGCACTTTGATTTTCTACATTATCTACTACATGTATAGAGAAAACAAAAAATTACTACTCCTAAACCTCCAAGACTAAAATCTGTCTTGCAAAGTAATTAAAGGAACGGCAGTGGGCATTTCTATATCACAGTTAAACAGCTCTGAAGTGACTCATATGGGTCACTCAGGAGATTCGTGGTAGAACCAGGTACAAACCTCCATTTCACTTATCCTAATTCATTTGTTCTATTGATGATCAATGAAATAAATAATGAAAATTGAAAACAGGTTTGTGATGGAATTCACATCATGTCAGTAAAAGTCTAAATAGATTTTACTGTCACAGAAGAAAGTTTATTTTGAAAACAATAAATTGTATGAGTTTTCACATGCAATTGCTAACAGATGGAAAATGATAAAGAAAAATGTAAGTGCAAATGAAAAAATAAGATATCTCGTTATATATAAGGAGCCTCACGAAAAAAAGATGAAAAGTCAACAAAAAAAATAAACAAATCATGAAAAAATATTAAAACTGGAATACTGACTTCAGTAAAAGATACATAAAAAATTTTATGGGGGCTTCCCTGGTGGCACAGTGGTTGAGAGGCCGCCTGCCGATGCAGGGGACAGGGGTTCGTGCCCTGGTCCGGGAAGATCCCACATGCCGTGGAGCAGCTAGGCCCGTAAGCCATGGCCACTGAGCCTGTGCTCTGCAACGGGAGAGGCCACAACAGTGAGAGGCCTGTGTACCGCAAAAAAAAAAAAATTTATGGATAGCTTGGGGAGAGGTAAAAAGTTTTCTTAAGTTGTTCCTCATAACAAAGGTATTTCTGTGTCACTGAATATTTTGCAAGGATGTATTCATATGTCATATGTGAAATTAAAGTATATAATAATGTATATTTTAATGTCTGAACTCTTCATTCCATAGTCAGTGAAAAAGGTTAAAGATAATATTACAGTGTACTGAAGTAATTTTTAAAGTAATCTAAAAAATTCTTAAACTCTAAGGGAATACAGAAAATAAATGATTTAATACTTGAGGAGAATCTAGCTTAGTACTGTTTAAATAATATTAAACAACCAAATTAATCGATAATTTAAATTTAGTAGTATGCAAAAAATGTTTATTTCACTGAACTGACTCAATTTATTTTTTAATAATGTTATATTGCCTCACCCATGGACTGAGCTCTGGCTAGCCACAAGATAACGAAAACTGGTAGTAAGAATGACAGGAATATTAATGCTAAGGAAAAACCTCTCGGCAGAAATGACTAAAGAGAATGTTTGAAAAGTGTCACCTTACAGGGTCTAGAGTATTTAAAGAGATAAATGCTGCCCATTTTCAAATCTAATTATTTTATAAGCTATAGATGTCTTTCAACATACGAAGACTGATGGGTCCAGTCATAATGAACTTTTGTTTAAATCCTTTCTCCTAACTCCAGAACATAACTATCAAAAGTAGTAGTATCAATTAAATTCAGAGAATTCATAGAATTGAATAAATTTCAGTTTACTGTGTGTGTGCATCGACAACCCCTCCCTCACCATCTGTGTTGGGAGGGATCAGAGGAAGAAGAGGATGTGTGGGAGAAAAAGAAAGGGATAAAGAGAGAGAAAATATCTTGATGGCTATGAATTTCTATACATTCATACAAGGCAGCTTCAATCTGGTCTTTTAGATACAAAAAACAAGCCACAAGAACTCAAATTTCACAAAGAACAAAAAATTATGAAAAATTAAACTTTTAAAAGAATGGGATTTTTAACTGAGACCCTGAATTGAGGAAAATTGGCCAAGTTTCTGGATTCATGAGAGAAACTGATACAGTTCAGAAGCATCATCAAAGAGGAATTTAGTGCTCGATATCAAGACCTAGCAATGCAACATCCTTGGTTACCTTTACTCCTGTAGCTTGCACTCAAGGCTGACATCGTTGCACTGATCCCTGAGAGGTGCCTATGGAACTCCACATGTGTATCTAAAGTTGATTCTAAAATCATCAATTGTATGAATTTTATCTCACATTAAATATTCAGAACTAATGAGATAAATGGCCATTTGGATCAAAACTGTAAAAATTAAATAATTGGTACTTGGTGTTTTCATTGCATACATATTTGAAAAGGACTTCTGTCCAAGTTCTAAATTATGTATTAGAATTCATTTCTAAATCATCAAATCTTTAAATGATATGTGTGTTTTGAGAAAATCTGTTTTTCTCAAAAGTGTCAAATTTCATTAAAAAAAAAGTGGTATTGCCATGTTTCATAAGTATGACAGTTCAAAGTTGCCGGAGTTTAAATTTCATTTCTTTTACAAATATGTCCTTTCTCTTAAAATGTGGAATAATGGTGGTCTTGGAACATCTAAACACCTATGTGTAAATTTATCCTAACTAAATCCAAAGTACCTAGTCCTATGCTTAGGTTGAATAATAATTTGAGAGCTAGTTAAAAAATATAGAAAAGAAATAGGGAAGGTTTTCTACTTGTTTTCTCTTAACTAAATTAACAATAATCAAAATGGACATAGCTTCCAATCTTTAAAATGCATCAGTATTTCGACCACAGAAGACCATGAAAGTTATTGTTTGGTTTACTTCATCATTTTGGTAAACTGGGTGGGATTATTAATTCATGTTAAAATAAGGACATTTATGACAGTATCCACAGCAAAAGAAGTACTTTATGTAAAGATCTGCATGTGCAGAGATGGATTCCTTCAACAGAAAGAAGAAAAAAACACACAGATTATATATGTTTAGATTGACTCACTGTCCTTTATGTTACTATATAACTTTAATTCTTTTTTTAAAGAAATTTGAATATTTATTTTATTTTATTATTTTTTTAATAAATTTATTTTATTTATTTATTGGCTGCATTGTGTCTTTGTTGCTGCGTGCGTGCTTTCTCTAGTTGTGGCGAGCAGGGGCTACTCTTCATTGCAGTGTGTGGGCTTCTCAGTGTGGTGGCTTCTCTTGTTGCAGAGCACAGGCTCTAGAGCACAGGCTCAGTAACTGTGGCGCACGGGCTTAGTTGCTCCGTGGCATGTGGGATCTTCCCAGACCAGGGCTTGAACCCGTGTCCCCTGCATTGGCAAGCGGATTCTTAACCACTGCGTCACCAGGGAAGTCCATATATGACTTTAATTCTACTATACAAATTGATTTTCATCATCAAATTTTCATAATACGCTTTCTAAAAATTGAGTAATTTTTCTGTGTTCCCTTTTCTGTCAATTTCTCCCTACCTTGCATGCATGTACATGCACACACACACTCAACCATATACCTTTATTTCATAAATTTAGGGATGCCTGTCACTTGTTTTAAAAGGGCAGATTTTTAGCGTTATAATTGGTAACTGTTAATTTCCCCTTATAATTGCTTTCCAAGATGCCTGCCTACTACATGTCATACACTTGCTTTTGAATTGTTTAGGACCAGTTAACATAAAATCATTTTGAAATAATACTGAATTGCGTGAAAGAGTCCAATAATTTGGAACTGACACAATAGGTTTATTTGAAAGAAAGGGGCAAGAAAAAGTCCTCAAATGCCTTTTTTAGTTAAAAAACTTAAAACGTGATCTGTCATACATTGCCATGTCATGTATTGTTATTGCACTGTAAAAGATTATGAATAAACGTAATTAATAGATTGTTTCCGTTAAAATACGGTTTTGTCATGAACTTTCTTCAAAATCTGTTGTTTCTATCGCTCATATAAAGTCTATATAAAGCTGTGAAACATAAATTTGATTTTAAACTCTGATAATATTAAGATTTAAAATGCAATCTTACTATAAAATACAGGGTTCTAGGTGTAGCAGTAAGGAGTTTTCACTTAAAATAAGTTGTATTATACCCTTTGTCTGTTAAGGTCATAGAAAAAAGAACTGAAAGACACAAAGTAAATGTGAAAGGTGAAGATAAATTTGCATAAAGAACACAAAAACTATTTTTTTTAGTCTAAAAATGTAAGCCAGCAAACTCCACAGTGCATTTATTCCTGTCAGCTAAAACACAGTGAACAAATGCTATTCAAATAAAAGTAAACATCGTGAAACTTGCAGTGTCATTTTTTCTAATGCGGGATTTTCTTCATCTACATTGACTTCTATTGTAAACGACTCATTCCACAGAGCAGTGCTGTTGGAAAAGCTGATTTTTTGTCTCACTGCTTGCCAAGTATTTTGAACTGACAGCAGCGCTGACTAATGACAGTGCTGGAATGTGCTGTTCTCAGTAGAATGGAGGCCCATACAGACCTAGTAGTGTCCTGGGGTCCAGCTTCTGTCCATCCAGGGGGTTGGTGCCATACAACAGCGAGTGATGTTCAGAATGAACAAGCTGTATTTCCTCCAGGCTGGCTTTTCGACCTTGAATTCGCTGAAAGAAAACAGCAGAGACCTACAGTACTTCACTGACAACATTTAGGAGAAAATAAGACCCCAAGTCACATTTAAGATGATTAATAATTGTCGGAGTTTCATCATGTAGGAGTGTGACACGGATTTGCATTAACGAGGTACCACAATAATACTTGAAAAATAAGTGTATGCAAGGTTCAGATCCAATGGATTGCTTATGCCTAAGTGGGCAATTGACATTAAGCATATTCTTCTTTGGCATAAAAAAAAAATCTATAAAAAAGATTGGGATTGACACATATATACTATTGATACTATGTATAAAATAGATAACTAATGAGAACATACTGTGTAGCACAGGGAACTCTACTTAATGCACTGTGGTGACCTGAATGGGAAGGAAGTCCAAAAGGGAGGGGATATATGTATATGTATGGCTGATTCATTTTGCTGACAGTAGAAATGAACACATTGTAAAGCAACTATACTCCAGTAAAAATTAATTTATTAAAAAAAAGAAGATAACATCTACCTTATAGTATTACTGTGAGGAACAAATGAAATAAAATAATTATGTAAAGCACCAAACAAAAAAGTTAATAATAATTAAAAATTAATAATAATTAATAGTTAACTCCTTTGTAAAAGTACCAACTTAAAAACAAACAGGAGCTATTGCTTAGCTAACAAGTAAATTCAACTCTTTACTTTACACACTCACCCAAAGAACTTGTTGAAACAAATTCCTTACTGTTTCTTAAAGGACATAAGTAAATACCAATACATTTTAATGTATTTGATTATTACCCATATGCTGATCACTTCATGTGTGTGCACCTCACAACAGTGTTCGTCTAGACAAATGTCACTCAAAATATGTAACACTGGGATCAGTAACAGTTCAGGAAGTGTTTATGAATGGTCTGTGATGAGGTCTGCATAAAGCTGAGAATAGATATTTAGAAACTTTTATAGTAATCTGACAGAGTATTTTTATGTCTGCTGAATCAAATATAATCTTGTATGTCTTCAATTTTTATTTCACTATTGTAGTATCTCATTTTTAATGTATTTTATATAAGCATTAGTTTGTGACAGAATGGAAATTAAACAAAAACAATAACTGCTGTTTAATCAGAGACAGTTTGAGACACTCTATAGACTCAGTCAATATTTTTACACCCATGCTAGGCAGAAACGTTCACTTCAGCTAACAAAGAATGGTCCTTCAACACAGACAAAACTGTACATAAATTAAATCTCAGTCAGTCAATGGACAAAGTGTTCTTCCTGGTCACATTTCTCAGCTGGCACATCTCTGAGCCCAATAAACGTGCTGGTGTATGAAGTTAATTAGCCTTATTTTAAAAATTGCCGTGCTTTCCTAAAATTACCCAAACCGTGTTAATATTTTACTTAAAATATCTATCAAAACAAGACACTTGTAAAGTAATATATTAGCAGAGAACTACAGTAAAATTCAGAGAGAATCTGTTCAGGGAATCCTGTCCTTTCATGTTCCTGACCATGAATTACCAGTTGATGTGGAAACATAAGGTGACAACGACACCTCTCAGGACCAAGACAATTCCATGCTCAAACTCCCTAGAGTTTAAGATGATGTGGCTGCTGCTGTGTGGTTCCCTGAGGGGGCAGGCAGGGAGAACCTCGATACACTGACACTTCCTAGAGCTTTACTGGGTAGAGGTGCTTGTCACTGAAAATAAATCATCATGTCACAGTGAGAAAGGAATGGTGAGGGACCCAAGGGGTAAGAAGAAGGTAACAGGAGTGATGTAAAACAGAAACTTCTTGACACTGTGCCATTATGTGCTGAATAAACAAATGCTTATGGAATTTCTTTGTGATGGCACTGAAGTTCCCTCTGTTTGACACCCCATTTATATTTCCAGAAAAATAAAAATACGCTTTAGAGAAATTATTCCCAGGTAGGCGTTGAATGTTAAAATTAAACCAGGTAGGTAATGCTGAAGACTAGGGCAAATTTATGATGGCCATCTGGTCAACCATTGCTCTGATCAATAAACAAACATGTTATTGACCTAGATGGCTTGCTGGTAAACATTAGATTTGGAGACATTTATGGAAGACCAGAACAACCAAAGAAGCAGAATGACAAGTAATGAGAAAGAGAAAGTTCTAAGTCACTACTAAAGGGAAACATTTTAACTGGGAGATTTCAGCTGGAGGAAAATCCCCCAAGATAAGTAGTAGTAACTCCATGGTCTGAGTCATCTAATGTTAGAATGAGCAGCACACTGGAAACCAGACTGCGGCAGCCGGTCCTGGTCTGGCAGAATAGTGAACACCATGAAATAACAGGGCTTCCAGCTCTCACTTCTATGAGTCTATGAAATCCATAGCCACTACCATCTTATACGCTGATACAGTGAAACATCTTTATCTTAAACAATGCCAGCTCTGTAGCTAACTATCAGACCCATGTTTGGACTACTATCATGAAGCGCCATCATTTTTTCCCTTTCTCCTTTTCTATAAAGATATTTTTCAGTTCTACATTGAATTTTTGCCTCTGGTGTAACATTAAATACCATTAGTAATAAATATATCTTTATGTTTTCACAAACTAGTCATATATATTTACATAGCATACATTCCATGCTTGTCCTAAGTCCTTTCTCATTCTCCCACAATCCCACTAGTATTCAGGCTGAATGTTCAATCACACATTTGAAAAATAATCTGCTAGCAAGATTCAATTATTGACAGTAGCTCAAGAACTGATAAATCTTAAGAGAACACCTGCTGAATCTCAGTCATTCCCTTGTGTAATACCAGTTAACTAACACTAAGGATAGAGCATCTGGCCCAGCCTATGTAGCTTTCACTTCTTCTAAGAGTATTACTTTTTAGTATACTCAAGACCTCCCCTTCACTACTAAAATGTAACAAAGTATACAAGTATTTCCTTTGATTTATTCACCTCCCCCCACCACACTTCTTTTTGATTCCCAGGAAGCATTTTACAATGACTCTTTTTATTATTATAGAAAATGTTTCTTTAAAAAATATTTACGCTAAATATAAGCACTAATTCTTGACGATCACTTTCTGCGTTTAAGGCCGCTGGAGAACAAGACCCACAAACAGGGTGTACATGTTTCTACAGAAAGAGGGCAGTGAAAACCAGTTCAATATGAAAACACGTTTCTACCTGGAGAAAGGATCTGGAGAAAGCATGCTCTGAGATTTATACCTCCAAGAGGCACTGCTGTGGGAACTCCGTGGATGTCTAACTAAAAATTCTGAAACAGCACCAGCTCTCCTTTCTTATTAGTTCGTTTTGCCTCACTATTATCAGATATCTTAAATTTGTCACATTCTACTTTTCCTCTCAAATTGAGGTCTCCAGCAGTTTTCATTTTCTGGTATCATCATCAGTAATTTATTAAGTTATGTGTTTATGCTTAAATATAGATAGTTCCGTTTAATCCCTTCCCATATTTTCTATTTCCTGTGTACCCTTTATTCCTTCAATTTTGTCTCATGATGCGCTTTTGAGCCAAAGGTCAAGAGCACAATGAGTCAGAAAATAGGATAAAGTGCTCTGATAACTGTAATTTAGGGAGATACTGATTTCCGTTCTCAGAGATATTTAGCCTGCAGGATGCCTAGCTAAAGTCATCTATGAGTTTGACCAAAAGAATTTTTGAGAATTCTGAGTATATTCGGACACTCAATGCATATAAAGGATGGCATGGGTCTCCACCTGGGTATTTCTCACTTGAGATGCAAATATAGGTCTTAAGTAACTTGCCAACATAAGTCTAAGAAAGAAACCTTATAGCTCTTCCTTCAATTTCTTAGTAAAGAAACGCTGTCATGTAGGAGGTATTCATTATTCTATTTCCATTCTCTGTGACTTGCACTCAAGTAGTTTCTTCCTTGAAAGCAGGAAAGGAACTCACGCGCCCTGAGCGCCTACCCTGTGCTAAGCACCCGAGGAATATGTTCTTATTTATTAGATCAGAGCCCCAAACAGTATACATTCACGTTTGAAGTTTGCTAAAGTTGTTCAAAATGACCATATCATTGAGTATCACAACACACCGTGGTTTTTTCCTAAAGAAGTAGTCTTTCTGAATTAAAGCCTGTTAATGCAACCTGATTATAGAAGGAATGTTCTGAACATGATCTACAAAGTCATACTGTGACAGGATAAAATGCAGCCTACCCACACACAGAGCACACACACGGTATAGATTCATATTTTTTTCTGCCAAGGAGCAGGGAAAAAAGGAAATAGTTCTATTCCTTCCCCTCCTCTGTTCAAAGCCTGGATTGAGGCCAGTGTCCTAATCAGTTCTCATTGGCCCTGGAGGAATCAGAACCTTTTGTAAAATATAATAAAGGGCATAAAATCATGATAAAATGCATGAAAAAGCAGTGCCTTTGGTTAGGGAACTAGAAATAATTTAGCAGAACAGATGGATTGCATTGGTTTGGTATTACTGAGGACATGAAAGGGCTTATTTTGTGGCAGTTCCAAACTAAGAGAAAATGTCCAACTTCAATTTGACAAGTCAAAGTACCTGCCTCTGCTGGGGGAGACCCCATTTTCTTTAATCATTTTCAAAGTGGTGACATATTAGGCAAGAATTTCCACTGAAATATCTCATTTTCTGAAAATATTTCATCCAGTGTCCCTAAATATAGGGATGCGTTTTTATTTTTTTCTACAAAGATCTGCAGGGCTGCAGACTTACAGAGTTAAACTAAAGAATCATAAATGACTTATGACTGTCAAAGTTACCCTCTGTTACAAACCCCATTCTTAATAGTTAACAAATCAGTTCACACCTATTCATTATTGTCGATACTCTTTCCTCTCTTAAACAAACACAAAAAATCCGGTCTCATTGCTCATGCCCAAGCTTACCAACCGGCGTTTTCAAATGCTACAACCAACTGCTTCTTTAAATGTTACAAAGAAGATAGTTTCTATCCCCTCCCCGCACTGCATTCTCTCCTTCCATA